GAGGTGGGACAGGGGCCAGGAGCAGCTGTAGTGATGGTGACCCAAAAGCCCTTTCCTGTGGGCTGAGAGCAGTGGGAGGGATGGTGGCCGGGAAGCCCCTTCCTCTGAACCAGGAACAGTAGGATGGTGGCTCAGAAGCCCCTCCCTCTGGGCTGGGAGCAGTGGGATTGATGGTGGCCAGGAAGCCCCTTCCTCTGGGCCAGGAGCAGGGTGACAGAAGGTGGCCCAAAAGCCCTTTCCTCTGGGCTGGGAGCAGCAGGAGGGATGGTGACAGGGAAGCCCCTTCCTCTGGACCAGGAGCAGTGGAACGGCAGCTCAGAAGGCCCTACCTCTGGGCCGGGAGCAGCGGGACTCAGTACCTTGGTCTGGTGGTCTGGTGTCCTCTGCATGTTTGTAGTGTGGAACCAGGTGGCTGCCTGTCTGCAGCAGGGTGATTCGGCATCTTCCGTGGGACTCAGGACCTCGGTAGGGCGTGCACAGACCTGCCTGTCTGCAGCGGGCTCATTTGGCTTGTTCTGTGGGACTCAGGACCTCAGTAGGGTGTGGGCAGAACTGCCTGTCTGCAGCGGGGTGATTCGGCATCTTCCGCGGGACTCACTTTAAATTTTATTTACTAAAGGTAGCCATATAGTTTTTCCTTCATGAAATTTTAACATTATCTAAAGCCTTTAAAAATATTTCTTTAAATATAATTTTCATGCAATCAGACCAGATATTTCACATTTTTCTTATTTGTGCCAAAGCCTTACCAGGATTGCAAATATCTTGAGTTATTACAGTTTCTGGAAAATGTTTTAGCATTTGTCTTTTTTTCAGAGCTAACCAAAACTCTTAGCAGGATTCTACAGATTTGGCAACTATTCTCCACCTTAACATTGAGAGTGTTTTAAGAGTATAGCTAGTAGGTATTGGAATGCATAAATCAAAGGGCACACCTGGTGAGATCTTGACAAATGTGATCAATTGTGTGACAACAGCCCAAGTCAAAATACAGAACGTTCTTAGAAAATTTTTGATGAGAATGTTGTTCTCTTTCCAACTACCAAGATTTAACTCATAAATCAGAATCTTATTTTGGTGCTATAGCTGTATTTACTAGATTTACCAGTCATCTCAAAAGCCAAGGATCTATTTGCCTCTTGACACTTTTGTGATAATATTTTGTCATGCCTGGAAAATTTCCTAAATATCAATAAAGTACCCTTTAAAAAGTTCATTAAGAGGTTTTTACTTTCTATATTCTCTCAATTGCATTTTGGGGTCTGCTAGACCCTACACATAAAATTATTCATAAATATCCTTGGATTTATATTCAAATTAATGAGCAAATCACTGCTCAGAAATTATTGCTGGGGGAAATCCCAGCAAATCCCATTGTTGGTGTTTAGTTTGTTGGTTTGCTTTTATTTTTAATCAATCTAGTGTACTAGAGAAGGTTAAGTATGGAGGAAGTCATCATTGTCAATTTTCACTATTGCACAAGCTTTTAGCCCTTTTCCTAACATGTATTATCTGAGGCACTGCTGAAAGTTGTTAACTGAGAAGAATCATGCATGCACATACACTCTAAAAAGTTGGAGAACTATGGTTAAAATATATTTATCTAGACATAGCCTAAGAATTTTCTTTTTTTTAGCATATGTGCTGCCAAAGTGAGCACAGAATTTTCTTTTTTTGATCAAAGAAGGGACCCAGAATAGCAAAACCAATTCTAGGTAACAGAGACATGGCAGGGGGTATCACAACCCCCAACTTGAAACTATACTACAAAGCTACTGGGATAAAAACAGCATGGTACTGGCAAAGAAACAGACCTGAGGACTAGTGGAACAGATTAGAAGATGCAGAAACAACTCCAGACACACTCAGTCACCTCATCTTCAATAAAGGAGCCAAACACTCTCACTGGAGGAAAAATAGCCTCTTTAATAAATGGTGCTGGAAAAATTGGGTTTCAACTTGCCAAAGATTAAAACTAGACCTATATCTCTCACCATGCACTAAAC